TCTTTTGTTCTGCACTCTGGCTCTTTTGTTTCACCTGCTGTACCACTCATTACAGGGAGCTTTACCTGTCAGATAGCATAGCCTCTCTATATTTGATCACTTAAACTGTATTTAATTGCTGCATATCCTTTCATTTCAGGAGAGGCTGGAAAAGAAGAACACATGGGAAACAAAATCTTTGGGATTCTGAACAGATTCTGGAAAGTAAAGCGCAGTTCAACAGTGTACAAATGAGACAATTATAGTTTGTACTGAGCCGGTGAAGCTTTATATGAGGTTTTATCTTTAATCTTAAATGTTTTTCTAACTTTGGTCTTGAACTTAATTTGTCTATAGATGATTGTCATGTATTTTGTTTAGTTTTTTGTTGTGTGTAGAATAGATGAACCAGAGTAGCTAATAGCAAATGAAGATCATAAGTAAACCAACAAACTATGCATCTATAATACTTTAACAATTGTTTTTTTATATAAACAATATTCCCACAGATAATTATCACTTGACTCTGCAATTCTAGTGACTTTTAGCTAATCGTTCTGCATTCTGTTTTGATTCCCTCCCACTACTTTCATAGCATCGTTTTGGCCACACGGGGCAGATGATTTTTTTAGCCAAAAAACTCTAAGACCCCACTGTACGCTACTTACCCAGCACCAAACAACAGGTAAACATAGTGGAGATATTTTTCTCAGGAAATGGTGGAGACCAAAACAGAGCTGTAAGCAGCTGGACAGAGACAATACTCCACATCTGTTTAACTAGGCAACTGTTTGTTAATATCTTTGGTGACCCAAACTAACCTTTGTCTTAATTTAATAATTTGCTGTGTGTTATCTAGACCTGCAGTAGATCAATCACTGATGTACTGACTCACTTAATTTTGAGGTGGTTTAGAAACAGTGTCTCCAATATGTATTTGTCCACCAGAGAGCACTAACAAGTTCATTTTTCAACTGGACAATGTCCCGCACGTACATATTTAAGCTGTTATAACTCAAATTTAAGGAATCTTTATAAAAGAAATGTTTGTATATATTGGTATTAGTATTTGTATATTAGTAGTAGTAGTAAATATCAGATTTTTTTTAAACTCTCAAATATCAATCAGTATCCATCAGAAAAACCTTGTATTTTTCAGGATATAGTATTATCATAGGCAAGAGATTAAACTGTGATGTTTTAGACAAATGTCATGCAAGCTCTTTTTATAATTGAGATAGACACAGGTTACACTATTCACATCCCTAAATGTTTTGACACTTTCATATCATGGGATGTCTCCAGTTATCACTGATGCTAGCAGGGCTGTAGACTGTTAGTTTCATTAGATACAGTTCAGTTTTAAGAAAAAAACAATGTAATATTTGTGCAAGAAAAGATAATGCACATATAATTGACATTATTTCTTCACAATCTCCTCTATCTTCCTCAATCAACCATTTTGGCCCCTCCTGCTTCCTGTAACTCTCACATTTAGTGAGCAGAGGTTCGGCACTGCGCTGCCTTCCTCGCATGTTTCTGTGCTGTCAACACTTTCTAAAGATAACACCTCCACTTCACCCCCACCCCTGAGCCACCTCTCTCCACCCTTCAGCTACGGTCCACAACAACTCGGCTGCAACGGAGACGGCTAAAATTAACCCTTAAACAAGGGGTTCAGATTGGCACTCTGACGGCACTGCAGACCACAGGATCAACCAACAGAAGGGGAGGAAGTATAGGGTAGAGACACACGAGCAGATATTGAGAGACAAATGAAAGAGAGATTTAAAATTAGATGGATAACGTAGATGGATGAGGCTCAGGCCAAACCTAAAGCTGAGGACACTCAGGACCCCAGCCCTGCATAAAAAAAGAAAGCATAAAATTGATCTCAGTCATGGAGTGAGCACCGAGAAGAGCTGGATCATTAAAGTGCCAAAGGCCTCTCCAGTACAGATGCATTGCCCGCAGAGTAGTGCTTACACCAGCAGACAAAGTCACTGTTTTGCTGACCATGCCAATGTGCCATCCTTTTCATAAAACAGAAAAACTCATTAACTCACAAACATTATCACACCCTCACTCTCTCTCACACACACACAGACATCACAGAGCATCCTTAATCCCGAGTTGGCGGGCCTGAATGATATTTGATCTTTCCGTTAGCGGCAGTGCCAAGAAATGCCAAGGAGAGCTGTGTTTCTCATAGTTATACTCATTTTTTTCAACCTTGTGGCCCTGAAAGAAGATCAGTGAACAAGTGAAGACAGTCGCAAACCCTAAGACCTCCTTGACATTTGACCTTAATACAGTGAAATCCTGATCTTTGTCAATCAAAACTGAAAGCTGATGAAGCCAGTAAGATTAGGAAACTCTGTAAAGAAATTGATCCTTTCCTGCATTTTAATCACATAAACCAAATAATTATCATCATGCGTGTGGCACGGTCAGCAATCCGTGCACTTAATTCAAACCCATCACACGCAATCCTTCTATACCGACCAATTGTGAGTCACATATACGTGATTCCACAAGCAATTTTGTATCCTTGATTGTGACAGACTTTTCATTTAGTGGATAGTATGCTGACCACTACTCAGGCGATTTGAAGGTCAAGGCTCCGAAGGATTAGAGAGCGTTAAACGGGTAGATGAGTGGAAAGCTGAACAGACTCATTGAAGCAGCTCTGAGAGGGGGTAGAAAATGGTCAGTAGATCTCTAAAGTGAATGGATCTCTCTGACCCCGCTCACGCTATCTGATTATATGTCTCTGTTAATGCAGCAGAATTACAAAGTGCCACTCCAGTCAAGATCTGGTCATTGCCCAGCATCTGTGCCATGCTGAATGAAATCTGGATCTGCGGTCAGTGTAGTCAGCAAACTCTATCATCAAGCCCTGGCACTGGGCAAAATTCAACTTTGACTCATGCCCTTCAAAAGGAAATGCATCTCATATGGCAATGATGCAGCTATTTCTCAATAAAATGTTCTTTTCTGGTAACTAGATGTTTTTCTAAAATATGCAAGCAAATATAGCCTGGTAATGGTTTTTCTTCCAACCAAGATGAGCCATGGGAAGATCATAAGGACTAGTGTTTGTGTGTGTGTGTGTGTGTGTGTGTGTGTGTGTGTGTGTGTGTGTGTGTGTGTGTAGATTGCATGTGAAGGCGTGAGAGATTTAACTTACCCCACTTCCCACTAAATGCACTCCCACTGAAGGCATTGGTCTAGAATATGTATATATATATGTGTGTTCAGATTAAATCAAGGGTCAAGGGTCATGTCCCTAAGATTTGGTAAATGCAAACCAGTGTGATAATAGTCTAGAATCAACTGTTATGTACTTATTACTTTCTTCTTATTATAACTCACTGCACTGTACAATGTAAGTAATGCCACCTATGTAAAACAAAAACAAAAACATCATAAATTGAGATCGGTACAGTGTGAGCACGTTTTTCTTTTAACACAGTTAGTTCCACTCCTGTTGACCTTTCACCTCATCACATTCTCAACCAATCCGAGGCACTGATTCTAGGATCCAGAATTAGCACTGCTATCACTGGCATGGAGAATGTTGGCCATGCAGACAAGTCATGGAGGAAAGCGAATAGGAAATAGTGAGGGGATTTTAATGGATATGAAGAGGGTTGCAGAGTGGCCAGTAAAGAAAAAGAAGTACATTGACCAACTTACAGATAAAGTAATAAGACGCCAAAATTCCTCCATGTGTTCTCGATAACGTTTTTTTTCTAGATCATTAACATAGACCTACTGCAATCTCAAAGCGTGAAAATAAAATCTTGTAATAGCCTTCACATTAAAGCGTGAATAACTGTAAATGATATGTGGCCAGTTCTGCCAACTGTACAAAATTAAGCAGTGCTAGCAGCTACGTGAGGTTGTACTTACAGCAATGCTTTAATCTAATCACTCGCCACAAATGTCAACTTCATGCGGGCGCCACAAATATCTATACACAATTCCATGCCCATTCAAGTAGTCGCTGAGATATTTCCTTCTGTACTAACTAAGTGACGGACAGACAGACATTGCCATCAAGTGTGGCTAGTAAAAATATGCGGTTATGTTTTGTTCTGTTTTTTTATCATACATGAATGGTGCTGGATGTTGAGAGGCAGTGTACGGCTGAAACAGTTCCAAAGACAATCCTGCTCAGTCAAATCTGTAATGTTAGAATTAAAAACGTATAGTTTGAATACATCAACATGAAAACTCTATATAGCTACAGGTTACTTTTGGCTTGCGGGGGCCAATGATTTACAAGGCATACATGGCTAATTTTGTCTGTGTTGTCATCATAAAACAAGTCGGTTGTTTATCCAACATAGCCTTCAGTTAGAGATAAAAAACATGTTGTGGTACCATGATAAAAAAGATTTGTTGGCTCAGTGCTGCCTCTCAACATCTTCTATCATTCCCTCCCTCACTTGTAAATCTCTCATTCAGATCTTTCTCCGTTCTCACTTCATAACATATTTTCCCTTTCGTGCAGCTATCTTTTTCTTTAACCACAACTCTCAATGATACTCACACCTCCCTCCCTCAGCTTCTCCCTCCCTCCTCCTCTTCACCACTACACACTGAGTAGAGTCAAGGGCATTGCACTGTGAAGACTTCACCAGCCCCAGAAGGGGGAAAAAAACTGAGCCTCACAGTGCTACTGTGATAACACTTACAGCCACATGCCCATAAAAAGCCGTCTCCTTTCACTTTTCTCTCTCCAGTGCATGTAAAAGCTCCCACCGTACATGTTTCATGCAATTACTGACATGCTCACAGTACTGTGTTGAATTTGGAGACGTTTCACATACCAGTCAAACCTGCTCCTGAGTGGGAGGTCTCAGGTCTGACCCCAGCACGTACCACATGTAAACCCCTGGACGGCCATCTGAACAATGTGTTCTTAGGGTTGCTGATGTGTTTGACCGTGCATGTGCGCGTCCAGGGAGAAACTCACGTTAAACACACACATAAACATGTCACACAGCACTCACCGATGCAGGCGTGTACACGGACGGTCAGCTGGGTGCGTAGAATAACACTGTGCTTCTTCCCTCTGGACCTGACAGAGAAAGAAGCCAACAGAATTATTGTTGATTCAAAAAATATCTTTATGAAACAAGAGTATATTACGGAAGGGTATCAGGGACAGGCACAAGGAGGAAACATTAGGATTTTTTTTATTTGTAATTTGGGAATAAAGTCGAAGTTTCAGTATTAGTGCCAGGCATAAGAATAAATATATAAAATAAATAAATATTTGTTTTTGTTGTTTTTGCATTTTGAGAATAAAGCCAAAAAACTCCTCTGGACCAACAAATAAAGCTAGGAAAGCCACTGACACCTCTTCCAAGTGTGTGTGGTTTCTCCTTCTGAACAGACGCAATTTTCAGCGAAATCTCTTCAAAGTCCTACAACTTACTACCACACTGTGTTTATTGCGGTGCTAAAAGTGAAATCATTTCCTTGTCACTTAAACGGATTCTGAAGAACAATTGCACCAATTCATCTACACGTTGCATTTTGTAGAGACGGCCATACGCGTTAACGCTAGTAGTTTGATTTATTTTTAGTTTGACAGTTTGACATTTCAACTTTATTCTCGAAAACCAAAAAAAAACAAAATCAAAAAATCCTCCTCTGACGTATCTTTTCTTACGCCTGGCACTAATACCTAAAGTGCAGCACATTGCAACTTTATTCTTTTAATGCAAAGCCAAAATAAATCTTCCTCTTCTCAGTTATTCAATTCTCCACTGCAGTTACAACACGATAATGTAATTTAGGGGCCAAACCTAATGAACACTTCTGGAACTCAAGTGTAGTCTTTGGCAGTAACAGAGTGATCTGTCTTGTTATACCATTTATTAACACTTAATTCTAGAGAAGAGTATCCTGCAACAAGTGAAACAAAGTTGGAAAAGAAAGTGCAGTTATCTCGCCCAACTGGCCTCTGCTTTAGGAAAAGTAAAATGAGACTGTTAAGAAAAAATATGAGACAAGGACTTGTTGTGATGGACATTTTATTATAAAGCAGAGGTAGATGGCATGATGGGAATGGCGCAGACAAACAGTGGCCTGCTTTGGATTCGTACCCTTATACTGATAAGCATCTGAGCCTTGAGGACAGGCAGCAAAAATGCAGGAACAGACACAACACACATATAAACACCTCCACATACCATTGTGCCATCACGAGCACACATTCATACACAGCATATTTCCAGTGGGAAAAACAACATGGGCACACACAAACAAGTATGATGGTATTTTGAGAGCAACTCAAACTCTCTCCCCTAACTTGAGTTATTATCCTCCAGTATCTAATCACTGATTTCCATCACTGACATGGTAAAAGCATCCAATCCACGCAGGGAAAGCACCGCTCTGATAACACACTCCGCTGCAATACACCCATTACACTTAACATACACCCAAACAAGAGCCCAGCTGGCCTCTTATCCTTCTGTTAAGCTGCGTTATCAGCTCTGCTCGGAAATAGAGCAAAATGTTAACATGATGTGTTGAGATGCTGATAGAACTGTGTTTTTCTTGCAAATTCATTTTTCTTACTGTACTTGTCTGATAATGTCTGTATTGTATGAGACCCAGAGACTGGTGGAGAGTGAGGCCATTCAGAGAGTATAAAAGAAGATTCAACATATATCATTCATAAATAAGGGTTGTTTTGGGTTTAAAAATGCTGATGAGATGGATAAGGAGCTTGCATTAGTACAAAAGGATGTCTATTTTAAAGAGTTCCTGTGCAGCCACCTATACTACAAACACCCTTTTTAATAACTTATAGGATTCATAATCATTCAAATCACTAGTTCAATATAATTTGAATAATACAAACAGCTCGAAGTGGATTGGAGGGACTCTGCATCCTAATCTACAGACATTTCCTCCTAAAGTATTTACAGTAAAAGCATTCTTTGAGGCTGTCCTCGTCACCAGAGGACCTTGTTTACTGTCAACTGTGGTGAGCAGCTGGAATCGCAGCACATTTTTGATGCGTGAGAGCATAGATTCTGGGTGAAAATCACTTTACACCAATCTACTACTTTATAACACTCATTGCATTTTCCAACGGAAGGCCATTTTCAGTTTTGCAGTTCAGATTTGTCAGAAAAAAGTAGAAAAAATAATAGTTATATACTTTGAAGGTATATTTATATGTCTATATCATATGTGAGCAAGGCAAAATGAAATGAATGTGAGTGTGTGACAGACAGCTATACAGCACAGTACAATCAACACGGGTGAATAGACACATCTAGGTTCTCCTAAAACCTCTATGCCTTTAAGATGTTACAGCAGCTGTCAAAAAGTGCCTGACCGTACAGCACAAGTGAAATATGTGGTGTGAGGCTGAGATATTGAGTGTGATTAGTTTATTCATTTTTGACACTATATAAATAGTGTTCTTCCAACCGAGGGAGGACAGGACAGACTTAGTCAGAAGCATCCATCCTCAACCTTTGTGATGTTTAGCCAAGAAAGGGGTCAAACCCAACCCAATGTGCGATTCATTTCCTACTGTCAGTACAGTATGACCTTGGTCAAAGCCAAGTTTGTCAGGATGACAGACAGGCCCGTCTGATCCAACCAGTTCCCCTAGATCTCCAACATTTCAGAAACACACACACGCCTTTATTCACCTGTCCATCATCTGTCACTTGGCTTACCAGGCTCATAATAAAGACACTAACACGGACAAACAAATAAACAAACACATGGAAACAAGCGCACACAAACAGACTCAACCTGGCTCGGTGGGTCTGCCATCACTTATGCTGGTGCAGCCCCTCTGTCTCCCAACAGATCAACATACCACAACCCTCCACAAACCCACACTGTCACATAGGCAGCCAGTTAACAGCTGCCGTCTCAGTGTATGTCTCAGAGCTCTACGTGACAATGACTCAGCATTATTTATCTCCTGTTTTGGCTCTGGGAACTACCTAATTGAATGTAGATACTATTCACCTGTTTATTACACAGCTAAGCTAATTAGCTGACATAACAAGACTTGCCAGCTAAGCAACACCGGCTCACTGTTAAACCATTACATGATAGCTAGCAAACACCTAGTTACTAAAGTTAGCTATAATACTGTAGACTTACTTGTTTGTTACCTAATTCTATGGTTTGCTAATTTATCTAGCTTGCTGGCTAATCAACGCTACATACAGGAAAGAGAAAGGAAGCAGTTGATGCTAGCTAACTGTGCTAACTTGCTAGAATTAATGCAGCTAGCCATAATGAGAAGATAACTAAAACTTTATGTCAATGAAATAATTATGAAATTAAATTATTTATAATAATAATTATCTCCTAAGTCATGACTTGTATTTTTTTTCCAGTGGGTTTCTTGTTGGATGTCAGTTGTTGTAGCTAACATGATGTTAGCTTCAATGCTTTATAAGTACAGGTTGGCCACCCAGGCTGAAATAAAGACAGCTTCCACAAGCAATATAAAAAATAATACACTTTTATGACATGAAAAATAACCTTCAGGCGAAAGGGCAGCTGATGTGCTGCCAGGTGTGGGAAATCATTATCATTTATGGCAGATCCAGGGTCAGTTTGCTGTAATACATTGACATATGATTACTTATGATGAATAATCAGGCTGGAAATCTATGTATCATTTCACTATATGGAGAAAAAAACCCTGAAATGTTGGATCATTATCGTTTCTATTTCACAAAGAAATGCCAAATTTAATAAGTGTGACTAGTATTTAGGCCACAGTCTACTAACTAAATTATCACACGACAAGTTGTCTCAGGATGAAGGTGGCTTACCACCTCCTTCTGTGGGAAATCCTGAGCCCTAGTAGCAGGTTTCCATTTTCCATTTCTCTTGTTAACCCAAAGAGAGACATCAGCACTGCTGCTGGGAGATTTGAGAGACTGAAAATACTTCACGACAGTGCTGTAACAAAGTCATGGTGATGTTTCTTTTAGAGTTGACAGGTTTGCGAACTGTAAAATTTTGTCACAAGGAAGATCAGAATATCAATTATTGTAAAAACACAGTGAGAGACGAGCTGTAGCTGTGGAAGGGAGCGCACATCTGTCCTGCTTTCCAGAGCGCTTCATACTTTCCGTGAACTTCTGCTTCCAAGAAATCCATATCCAGCAGCTTGTGATTCTTCCCATTTTATAAGAATGGAGTAACTCAGAAATTATATGTGTGTGTGAGAGAGAGAGAGAAAGAGAGAGAGAGAAGGGCAAGGGGGGTAATCACAAGGGTGAGAGTGTATGTAAGTCTGTTTCAAAAGGTATAAATGTGAGTTAATGAGTCTCACCCTGTGTCGTCCTGCTGGAAGCCCTCCAGCTCGTCCCTTTGCTCAGCCAGAGACGACTCCAGATCCAGATAGGTGCCATTGTGGGAGAGCTGCAGCGTACAGTCATCAAGCTATGGAAAAAGAATAAAAAATTATTTTCAACACAAAAGTCTTAATGAATGAAATGGACCTGAACCAAGGACCATATTTAACTGAATTGAACGAAACGATTAAAGCAAAAGTGGTTACCAACATCAAATTGGCATTTATACCTAAATTAGGGATGGAAAATATGATGTGTAACATGTGAAATTTCCCTGGCCAGGCTGTGATGTGCGTACATGAACCACCCACAGGAATGACATTGGTCTCTGGGCCCACTATTTTTTAATACTCCCCTCACCATGTCCCTGCATGTGTTTCACACCCTTTTTAAAACAATTTGAGCCCGTAAAATAAAGCCAGTTTACGGGAGAACGAATTTGAACACGAGTATGTACAGTGAGCCATGAAAAGTGAGAAAGCTGTATGTGGTGTGGCTCTGCTTTCGGCATTACAAAGCTGTTAAGGGAATTAACTAGTAGAGACGTAGCAATAAAGGCTGCAGAACATGAAACCAAAACCAGAGGGAAACACAGAGAGAGAAAGAGAGATTTTAGTGCATTTAAATACCAGCTGTGAGAAAAATGACACTTAAATATTGAGCATTTAATTGTGTTCAGTATGAAGCTACAGCACGTTCAAGTCTGTATGTTAATGGCAGGAGCACACACATAATTAACATGTGTGTACGTTTATGCACATGAGAGTGAGAGCGCGCTTTGGTTCTGCTTTTCACAGACCAATCTTGCGCCCATGCCATCTGCATCTGCATGATCTAAGGTAGCACTGCGGCGTGGGCTACGTCAGAATTAACCCACTACGCTGTGTAATGAGAGACCTTGCTGAGTTTGAGACCAGGTGCATAGTAATATATCTGCACACCACTGGCACTGATGTTTATGAGCGCAGTCACAAGCTGATAGCAGGTGCAAGCAACCATCCCAGCTATACAACTCGTAAAAAGTAACACACATCATTGCATTATTGTTACCATCGGCCATGAGCTCGCAGCCTGTTGTTAAAGCCGCTGATGTATGAATAGGTGAATGAGATCAGAGTCATGAGGTGAGCTAGCATTTAGCACCTCTATGGTATTAGTAGGCCTAACCTAGCCTGGCCTCTGGTGTGCTGCCAAACTGCCCCCTGGCCGTCTAGCCGAGCTGCATGACGACACTCGGAGACCAGCAGAGACCGCAGATCACAAGACCTGCGGCTGCTCTCTGCATGTCCCTCCTTCTCACTCGGAAACAGAGAGACGGACTGTCGGATGGACTCACAGCATAAATATAACCTTGCTATATTTACTCTGCTCAGAGGCAGCATGCACACAGAATCTCAGGAGGTGGGTGTGTCCACGGGGCTGGGAGTTAAAAAAAACTGCCAAGGCCAAAGTGTTACAAAGGAGAAGTTGACTGTCATCCATGTTGCAATAAACTTTACAGTACTACCAACTTTTCGTAAATTCTTTAGGCAGTCCCGAGCTCAGAGTAAGGAATAATGGACCATAGGCAAACAGGGTGACTTTAGGTTTTGCTCCAGTTTTCCCTCTCACACCCCCCCCACAACAACATTAATCCATCTGTTAGCCAAAAGCTAATCCGCAAAGCAAAACACACTCTTATCGGAATATTTAGGTTAATTAAAATGCCAATTAAAATGCTGCAATAACCATATTTTCCCAGGAAGTCCACCGTGATATAGTCTGGACAGGAAGAAATAGGGAAGAGGAGAAGAGGTTGAGAGCTAAAAAATAAGACAGTAAGTGGACCTTGAGTGGAATATAGCATGGCAACATACTCCCAGTAACAATGGCAACATGGTGATGTGAGTGCAATGTTTACCATGTTGAAAAGAAAATGGCTGCTACCAAGGGCTAAAATTATAAACTAACCAAAAAGGGGGGAAAAAACATAAAGAAAGAGCTCAGTGCACATGTTTTAGGGGTCATCTTTGTAGTCTAACCCCAATTTCACCAGCTACCCTAGTGCAGTGTTATTGTTATTCACACTTTCCGTGCTAATGCGGCAAATCTCAGATTGAGGATTGACTAAGTAGAAGGGGGGCTGAGACAGTGGGGGGGTTAATCATGCCCTGTCCCATTGCCCTGGTTTTTATGGAGGAATAAGACAAAAGCATTTCTTGTGCCCAATCTGTTCGCATTATTCAGCATTTTTTATTCAGTATTCTAATCATGCATGTATAGTCCTTCAGTGAGAGAGACTTTTTTTATGCCTTATGACTTAGGCCCACCACCACCACCACCACCTCCTCTTCCAGCTTTCTTTTGCGTCACCCGCTTTATCTGCACAAATTACTCAATCATACACATACTGCTCGGACAGCGAGAAGCGAGCGCACGGGCCACTCTGTAACACAATACGTTAACAGCTCGCCCTCCAAGGGGTGTCTCTTTCCTAAAACACTTCGTTTGGGCAATAGTAGTAATAACATAACAAAACACATCATGCTGACGGAGCCGGCAGAGAGGTGGCTCCAGAAGGAACCACAAACTCTTCACACTCAAGGCCCCGGGACGGGCCAGGGAAACACTTAGTGGCTAGTATACTTTACACTCATTTAATCAAATTCTCCCAGAAGAGAGAAAGCAGAGGAGAAAAAAAAAAGAAGTGGGGGCTAGGGGAGTAATTACTTCCACGTTAAAACAACACCAAGCCTGCTGGCGATCACGGTGGGTCCACAGTTAACAATGCCCTTACGTAAGTTACACGATGAGTTTTTAAGAACTTTTTGGTGTCAGAATCAGAGCCGCGGAGGAGCAGGCGCTTTGAAGAGCGAGGAGGAGGGTGTGTTCTACGCGGCCATTAAATCTCCCAGTGTTGCTTTAATGGGAACCCTTTGGTAATGAAATAAAAGTTGAGCTTGGAAGTCTAGGCTTTGTTGTGCTTTTTTAGCGGAATGGGAGTTTTTCCCTGCAAAACTGTAGCTGTTTGACTGATGGTGAGGGCTTCTGCATTGAGCAGAACATCTGTCATTTTTGGGTTGGGGTAACTTCGTGAAGTGCCTACTTTATCTTTAAAATTCAAACTTAGATGAACTTTGTTGAGCCTTAGAAGAAGAAAGTGATCATTTCTTCTGTGGGAATCAAAAGGAAACTTCTTTGTTTAGCAGTTTGGATAAAATGACACATCCCATGCACACGAACCAGTGATACACTGATTTAGCTCTGGCAAGTTAGCCTAACCGTGTGTGTGTGTGTGTGTGTGTGTGTGTGTGTGTGTGTGTTTTTTCTGTGTGTGTGTTTATCTGTGTGTGTGTTTGAGTGTACGAACTGGTGCATGGTCAGAGAGGTGGAAGAGGAGATGGAGGAAGAGGTCAGGAAAACCGCGTGACCCAAAGTGAGGAGAACAAAGTGTCGCAGGGATCCAGGCCTCAGCCACAGGAATTCTGGGACAAGTGACCTATACTTTACATGCAGCCCAACCAGCCATACACAGAGCTCTGCCATCACAACATAATAATACAGTAGGCTTTTCTCAGAGAAGAGCACAGAAGGTTAAGACAAAAAAAATTAAAGAGAGCGACTGCTTTAACAAAGAAAGACTGAGTAATAGCTTAGGAAAGTGTCAATCTCTCGCTAGCTTTGACATTTTCCAATAACATAATAACATTCGAGCCTTTTCAAACACCAACTGTTAGATCTGGACAGTCTTGACGGGCAAATTTGCAACAGTTCAGTTTCATCCCTATAATCTAAGCGCAATATCCAGTTGCCGTTGCGCACAGACTTCTTCCTGATGTGAACAAAATTGCAAACACCAACGCGGGCTGTGCCATCTGTCCCTGATAGGTTGTAATCATAAGCTTTTCTGTGCTGTGGGCCATTTTTCATTTGTTTTGTGGCTTTTAAAGATGGGGCAGCAAAAGATCTGCTTGGTCTGGAAAACCACTCTGCTGTTGAATGCTGGTTTGCTGTCAGCGCTGTGTGCCAGCAGTGGAACTCTCTCTTTCTCTCTGTGTCTCACTTTTATTTTCAATTCAGTTTCTATATTCTCATCTTGAGTTGTATCCGCTTTACAAACAAAGAAATTAAAATAAGGTCGCATTAGTGTCTGCTCCACTGTGTATAGCTTCCGTGGGTGTGTTTGTGGGACTCAGCCTTGTCAGAGAGGAATGTGTTGCTTTTTTTTTTTTTTTTTTCTGGGTCACTTTAAACACTGAAATTCACTAAGAATGGACACTTCGGTTCACACACACCCATCGTAATCTGACACTTGACATCTGATCATCTGTGATTCAGGCTCTTCGCAGCATGGGCACCAGAGCTTTATCACTGTCACTTGTAGATGAATGAGGCAACTCAGGATATATCTAGTTGCACTAATGCCTTTGCACACCTGTCACTGCTAAGCAGACAGCAAAATACATTCAGCGATACGAAAGGATTATTCACTTTGAATAGGGGACTTATCGTTATTTCTAGTTACCCCCCTCAACAACAGAGGTCAAAGGTTAGAGTCTGCTTCTTTCTTGGACATCCAGCATCTTCCTCAGGGGAATCACAGCAGAGTGAATGTATGCCAGCATGGGAATAAATCTGGATATTTAGTCTGAAACAAGTGAAGTGCGTGGTAAATGTTGCTCTGGACTTTGAGGCAAACATTTGCAACCTTGTGTCAGTCCTCAGGCAGGAGAGCCAATCAGTTGTGCTTGCATGTCTTCTCAAAATAGCCTCTGAATGGTGGGTATGGAAGTTTATTTGCAATAGACTTGAAGTTAAAAACAGCAGTCTTAAAGGTCACAAAACAACCTCATGCAGCACTGATTCAAACCAATGAATTCACAGTAATATGTGTTTGAATCTAGACACATCTTTTATTTTCTAGATTTGTTGTCTTGAAGTTTCTAGTGATCTTGTATTGCTTTATGCGGGAATATATCACATTAAAACCCCTATACCATATATCAGATGTTTCCATGAGGCTACATGAGTAAAGTCTCGGATGAGTTGTTACCCACTGGTGATCTTACCTTGTGTGGGGCTTTGAGGAGCCGGTGGACGCCTGCTAACTGGTTGATGAGTGGGATATCCTCCCTGAAGGTGTACAGCGGTGGTCTCGTCGGTTCTGGGAAATTCGTGCTGTTGAACGGATCGGTGTCATCTAAAAACTGAACCCTGCACACAAACGTGGCCATGGTGCATCCATGCAAGTGGCTCCTCTGAGGGCGGGGGCGGAGGGGCAGCCCGGTTTGATGAGAGCCGGACCAGCTACGGCTCCTGGTCGCTGAGCGCTCCTCTCCTGGTAACGACAACAAACCCGGGTCGCCAAGCGCGCCCTGTGCGCAGCGGGTCCTCCCGCAGGACGGGGGTATGTAGAGAGAAAGGGGGGGCTGCTGGAAGAATGGCACACAAGAAAACCGGTCAGTGCGTCTCGTCTCGGCTCCTTGCTTTGGTTGTGCTCGCCCGGAGCCGTGTGATGCCGCTGCGTTATTCTCGGAGAGGCAGGTGGCCAGTGATAAAAGGGAGGCGGCAGGAGGACTCCAGCCTGCTGCCGGAGAGTGAAGGATCAGCGCAGCTTGGGACAGCCGGTCTGCTGTCTGTCTGTCTGAGTCTCAGTAAATCCACCCCCAACCCCCCCATATCTATTTTCCCCTCTGCCTCATCTCTCCCTCCCTTCAGATCACTGTCCCCGGCTTAGCAGTGGCTTCCTATATGAAAATGAACTGCGGTAATCCATTATAGAACTTATATAGAAGAACATATAAATGTAAAATAATGACCTAAGATGCCGCCGGAGCGTTATAGAAAGGTTCATCATACGCTCAATATACCATAAAGTAATTACTATAATAATATAATAATAAATAGGTTAAATTAAATATCCATAAGGCTGCTTCAGCACTGAGACAGACTTTATTAAATGTTATGTCGCTATTAAATAGAAAGCCTGCTAAAACAATGTGGTCAAAAATGATGTGAAAAACACTAGTTTGATGTAATCCCACTGCTGAGTACCCCCCCCCCACCTAGTCATGTATGGGTAAATATTTGCTGTTAAGCGCTTTGCGGCAATGCTATAGTGCAAGCTTGACTAATGACGATCTCTAGTGGCCAAATGCAGGTAGTACAGTATTTCTGTCCTTTCCACCAATGCTACTAACTTGGACCAACTAATGTACCATTTCTACAGTACATTAAGCGAATTGTTGTATATTACATTTTCTATATGTGGATATTTAGTCACTATACAGCAAACTCACTGCCACAGGAGCTCTCAGTTTCTGGAACATTAGGAATTTATATATATATATATATATATATATTTGATACAGCTACAATAGGTGTACAAGAGATGTATTAGATGGGAACATGAGTGAGCTTCTTATATTTTCCTTTACTCTGAGGTGTTATATAGGCCTTAGCCGGCTGTGATCCACTGATCGGAGGGTCGGCGGTTCAATCCCCAACTCCTTCTGTGACACTGAACCCTAACTGCTCCTGATGATCTGCCTTGAATGCCAGCTTGATGCAGTTGGTGTATGAATGGGTAAATGAGAGGCTTCATAAATGCAGTCTATTAACATTACAGGACTCCTGTAATCATCATCTGTGTACAAAACCTGAGGTAAAACCAGTGGAGACCACTGGAGGGCAGAAAGCTGCTTCTTTTAACACTGATAAAGTAAAAACACACCACATTGATGTGTAATAATGTGCATGTGCTGCATCTTAAGTTAATGACTGGTTGTAAAGTAAGGAATAAAGTACAACGATTTCTTCACACACCCTGACAGACACTCACTGTATGTTCTCTTATCTTTAGCTCTGTAGCATTTCTTCAGAGCATGGTTAGGAAATAGCAGCTTTTGTTAATATGAGCTGGTAATCCCTAACCATGAATTCATCATCTTGAATTTAAACCAAAACTTCCCCTTCATACCAGCGACCCTGGCGTTAGGAATGATTACAACACATTCGCTGAATATCACAAATGAGGATGAGATGAATGTGAGGGGGAAGCTGAAAGCCATCACAGACAACCCCTCTCATTCTCTCTACGCTGAGAGGAGGCAGCTCAGGAGCACTTTCAGCCACAGACTCAATTCAATTCAATTCAATTTTATTTGTATAGCGCCAATTCATAACAGAAGTTATCTCAGTACACTTTTCAAATAGAGTAGGTCTAGACCGAACTCTTTAAAACAGCCTCACCCAGCCCCGAGCCTCAAAGTGCTTAGTTTGTGCCATCAGCCATCTGACTGCACAACCTCCCCCCCCACCTCCGCTGACTAAACTGTCAACCATTAACCTGACAAGCACGACAGTTTTTTCTTTTATTTGCACAATACCCTTTAACATTGCACATGTACAGTTATACACTCCAGTTACCCATCTGGACCATATTCAACTATATTGTATATATTTTATATATTCTTGATTATATTTGTGTTTGTATTTATATTTTATTTTATTATACTTGTTGTTTGCATTACATTCCCCTTTGATGCTGTGCCTAATGCAAATTTTCCTTTCGGGGGATCAAAAAAGGAACATCTTATCTTATCTTAAATTATTGCTGATGGTTACCAAACAGTGAGCAATTCTTGAATGTTTCCTTGATGTGATAATACAGTAGCTTTGAATTGAAAAAAAACACTATTTCCTGTAAGAAATAAAGAAAAATAAATCATACTCATTACATGACGTTATCATGTAATTTCTGTTGTATTCTGACTGGATCTCTCCATGTTATGCTCAGACAACTGGAATGAGGTCAAAGGACAAGGTCTTCTGGTTCTCTGCTGCTATTCTTTCCACTTTTATGGTATCACAGTGACTTCGGTGCAAATGTTCGGCATTCTGAGGATGAGGCAGGCTTTAATAACCACAGGAAACATTTTCTTGGAGTTTTGTTAGCATTTTGCTCATTACTTATCAAAATGTCTTCAATACAGTTTGATATTGTATGATACCTCAGAATGTATGGTACACTACCGCAGAGCCTGAAGTACAATCCTGTGATAAAACCTCTTGAGTACCACAGGAATTTACTACACCAGCATGTGTTGGTACAGTACCACAGGATCATACTAGTACCACATACATTTTAGGATATTTTATCACAGGAAATTGTAACAATTTTTGAAGAAGTGCAGAACTGCAGGAGGATGACTTAAAGGTCCAGTGTGTAACATCTGAGAGGATCTATTGGCAGAAAGAGAATATAATATTCATAGGTATATTTTCATGTTCAATCACCTGAAAATAAGAATCACTGTGTTTTCGTTACCTTAGAATGAGCGGTTTATATCTACAGAGGGAACGGGTCCTCTTCCATGGAGGCTGCCATAATGAACCACCACTACAGTTTCTACAGTAGCCCAGAATGGACAAACCAAACACTGGCTCCAGATAGGGCCTTTCACATTTTGTTGCAAGTTTCGCTGTCCATCATAGTTTCTCCTACACCCTTAGAAGATTGAGCTGTATTAAAATGTACAATCATCATTAGATGCCACTGAATCCTTCACACTGGCCCTTTAAAAAACAGTGTCACAGGAATGAAGAAACAATAACTACTGGCCGACTGGCTTTGTGAATTGTACAAGAAGTGTTTTTATTCAATTCAATTCAATTCAATTTTATTTGTATAACGCCAATTCATAACAGAAGTTATCTCAGGACACTTTTCAAATAGAGCAGGTCTAGACCGAACTCCTTATAACATTTACAGAGACCCAACAGTACCAGTTTTATGCATACAACATGCAGATGTTTGATTTTGCACTTTTTAGAATGTTAGCATGCCAACATTTGCTAATTAACCCTAAACAAACAGCTGAGGCTGATGGGAATGTCATTAGTTTTGCAGGTATTTGAACTGATTATTAGGTAAGACAAAAAGAGTGATCAAAGTTCATATAGTTATAATCCATTCAATTGTCAAGATACTGTATTTCATTTAAAACCCATCCAGCTGTTGAGACATTATAGGCTGGACCAAAGTGTTGAACCAACCATAGATGAGAAAATCTTCCTTCCTATTCGAGGTATGGGCTTTACTTATTCTGGTTTATTTGGAATACATATACAGAGATAGACTAAGGTCATTAGCATGAGTAACTCTACTGGGGCCATTTCTGTGTTCCCATTGTCCTGTGTTCCCCAGATTTCTATTACACATAATGAAAAGATGACGAAGAGTCCTATGTCCCCAAGTCCTAGGGTTAGGTAAGGGATTACTGGCAAAGCATAGGCAGCCATTTCTTCTATGGCTAATTAGCCTGTAATTAGTACTTGCCTTGAAATAAAAATTAAGGATAGTATAAACTAATCATAAGAGAATTAATGAACTGAGGATGAAAGGAGAAATGTTGTTTGGACAAAGTACACTTCCAGGGTTAGAGACCTTCGAACCCTGGGAACAGATAGTCTCTGGCATTACCCACAAAGCACCACCCACAGAAACTCAAAACTCAGCAACCAGAAAGTCCACACAGACACACAAACGTAACAGTGGGCTAGTGCACACACTTTTTGATAAATGCAGAGAGCATTCATCTTTTAAAGCAAAGCATAACAACAAACTATGTTTTCTTATTTTATTTTTCATGATTGAATTCATATGATATGTTAAACTATTAAAGCAGTTTTCACCCAACAGAACAACTAGAAATATCTTAATTGAGATAGAATATGGCTATAGGTGGCAAAGCAGCTACAATGTATATTGTACACTGTGCCAGCTGAGGGAAGAGACTCTTTAACCTTCACCTTGCTGCCTGAAGCCTCCTGAGATAAGCTGGAAACTTTCAGAAGTGGAAATCCAACTTCCCACCAATCTCTGTGTCACTGATAAAGTTAAAGCATGAGCTGCTGTTCAGTTAAGTCTGTATAATAATCTTGGGTAGTTAACGTTTAGCTTGTGTTACTACTGTGAGGTTCAGTGACACTGGTGAATTTAATAGCCCCCACTCAATACAGGCCACAACCTGTTGAAAATGGCATAACTTTTCATAACAGTTTAAAAAAATGATTGGTGAGGATCATGATTGAATGCGTGATTCAGTTCTTCCATATCAGCTCATTTAAATCTCTACTATCTAGTCCTGATAGCAAAGTGAACTTTCAGTCCTGAACCCATACATATTCGATGTCATGCATGATAATGTGCACCATAACAGCTCCCCCTACACCCTTTTGTTTGTGTGGATGTTTTTTTACATAATGCTTCACATGATGGTGAAGTTTTGAAAGATGAATAACTGTATAAAATGTATTAGGAGGACAATTAATAACTATATATGAAAGGAATTATACAGACAGTAAAAGATAGAAAGGCAGAAAGGATCTTTCCAGTTATCTAAGCTTACCTTGAGTTCACCATGGTTCTTTTATGATCCCTTTTCTTATGCTGCTCCTCCCGGAGGGTATCCCACTGTTGTATCGGCCAGCAATCTAGGAAGGGCAGTGTAGGGGTTCAGGCAGCATTTAACCCCTATATGACAGGAATGGCATGCATGAGTGATTTTTGGTCCAGTAGAAAATTCTTGCTTGAAATCTGTTTTTCTCATCTTGAATTAGTGTGTTGGATGCACGTCTATTGCTACCTATATGGACAAAAAAATTAAAAAAATA